AAAGTAGTTGGGAAATTATTTGAAATGACTAATTTGTGCTCTTTCTGAAGTATGTTAAATGTAGCTTTTGAAACAGAAGCCTTGAATTGAAATTTAATACTTGAACATTTTTGTATATATTTCTTTGTATATAATTTTGTGCAGTACTGATGACAAAAATATGGTGTCATAATAAAATCAGGTTTGTTGATCTTTCAGTTATGGGCTCAAAGAATTTATTCATCTCTAACATATTGGAAATAATGGATGAAAATAGGAAAAATGATTGTTGTTAATTTAGGTCTTACTCAAAAGGTTCTGGAAGCAGTAAGTTCTTTTCCTAAAAATTATACCATTTCTGTGGAATGTTTCTTAACATTAGTGCTTTTCCTGCATTCGAAGTACGGGCTTGGGGAGAATCACTTTCTGCATTGGGATGTTTTGAAATTCCAAGTACAGATTTTTAGAATGTCATTTTATAAATGGCAGTTTGGACAATTAAGAGCTCTTGACAGTGGCAAGATTAGAGTGTCCTGTTTTTAAAGCTGCTTTCTTAGGTTCCTTATGTTTTATTAACTGTCATTTATGTTTCCATTTCATTGTTTCTTTTCTAGTTTTGGTGACAGTGATTTTTTTGTCTTTTTTTTTTTTTTGGCATCAACTCATGGTCTTGTTTTTACATGGTAACTGCATGTATTTAGACCTATCAGGGGGTTTAAATAATTTGATCATATTTATGTGTAAGCACATTTTACTGTAAAAGTTTGGGTTTCTCAATTTACAACAGTTGTTTATTTAAGTGTGTAGTAAACAGTATCTTATAGTGTCCTGTTCACTACTTGTTAATTAAAAAGTTATGATTAATATAAAACTGTTGTCTTACTATTTTTAGAAAATTGTGTTGTTAATAATTAGTCTTTTGATAGCGTTCTGGAATATAAAATAGATTGCTTTGAAATTTTCAGGTTTGGCAGTATTTACTGTGATGGTTGAGAACAATTTAGTATTTGGGGAACTATTTCAGGTTTTATTTCTGATTTGTACCTGAGGTAAAAGTGATAGTAAACCTAAAAATGTAGCTTTTAAATACCTGTCTTCCTATGTAATTCATACATTAATTGACTAACACATATTGGCATAGTATTTCTATCATAGTGACTTAAGTTTTTGACCTTTTTTTTTTTTTACCAGACTTAACTAAAAAGTACAATTGTTAAAAATGTAGTCACACCTCTGATATATTCCAACAAAGTATTCAGAATATTTTAAATATCTGTTCATTTTATACTCGCTAAATTAATCTCTTTCTCTTCTCTTTAAACAGCTTAGCAGTATCTGCAAAAACGAATCTTTTCCTACAACCTGTTAACTGACTGGACTGATGGTAACAGTAATTGTGGGAGCCATGTCGGTCAAAAATTGGCATCTGCTGAAAAACGTGAATGCCATTTCCAAGGTCCCAAATTACTTCTATACTGATTACACTTTCCAGAAATGGAGATATGAAAAGATTCTCTGGAATGCTTGAAAGACTTAATAGAAATCCATGAGACTAAGATAATTTTGGAACAAAATTACACTTACTTTTTTTCTTTCATGGCAGTAATATTAAATTTATTTCATTTTTTAAAAATGTAACCATTGGAGAAGAGAATTATAGTGTTTCATCAAGAAACATTAGATTTTTTACACAATCAAGGACATTCTTTGGAATTAGACTTAGAATGACATAAATAGGCTAGCAGTGATCACAAAACTTACGAGTTTGTATTTCTGGAATGTAAAGAGCCACTTTGGAAGACAGACACTTTGCTGAGTAGAATAAAGTCCTTAACTTAAAGAGCAGTGCTTTTAAATAGATGCATTGATTGTATATTTTGAAAAAGTTATTCTGACAATATGTCTGGGTCATATTGCAATTTAGGGTAACATGAGCATGTGTGCAATCCCAGGGTTGGTTATTTTGGTCATTCTGAGTACTTGATGCTGTTGAATGTGTTGAGGTTTCTGATGCGTGATACAGTTTCTAGCGTTCTTTGTTAACATTTCTGTAGTGTTCTGTAAGGACCTTCATATTCTGGATGATAATGACTTATTTCATATTACAAGTAAAGCACTCAGAGCCCAATCATTTATTATTGTTGGAATATGCTAATACATTTTTCATTCAGCCTAGACTGAGTCATTTTATTTTTGGTTCATTTGGGAAATATGCAGATAGAAGAGGGAGATGGTAGGAAGTAATGTTATTACACTCTAACAGTATGATACTCAAAATTCATTCAGGTTGCTCTGTTTCCTGTATTCATCTGTATGTTCAGTGCTCATAAAGCCAAAAAGTAAAGGGAGTTCCCACAGGCTTACATTTAAAGTGGCCAGTGCACCTATAGTACAGCTGATCACAGCCAAAGGTGTCCATTTGGTGACCTTGAATATGACTCTGATAGAACACAGCATAGACGATTCACTAAGAGTGTATATCTTAATGTGCAGTTACCTGGTTGAGGTATTTTGAAGGTAGAGATTAAGAGCTCACAGATGTAGTCAGTTTTTAAACTAAATGGTTCTTGAAAGTTGAATAGGTAATACTCACTGGTGTTCTCCCCTTTTTATGTTGATTCTAAGTTTTGAGCCCCATGTTTATATTTTTATTGTGTTCCTGGGTCAGTTCTTCCACACTTCCTCTATTTATTAGGAATTAAACACTACACTAAAGAATTTTTACCTAATCACTATGTTTAGAACCCTGTAATACTGTCAGTGTAACAATTTGAATTTTACTGTAGTCCAAGTGTTTCCAAGTTTTGTATCATCCTACACCTTTCTGACTTACTGTCTAGAATTTGCATTTTATTATGTGCACACACATACACGTATCACAGATATAATGAATATGAATTCTTTTAAAGCCATGTACCTGGTCAGAGCAGGTGGTAAACTTCTGAATAGTTTGTCTACTTTAGATAGTAACTATTTTCCTCACTGAGGCGTTCTTAGGTCTGAGCTATAAAGGGCTGAGTTTCCTCAGGTTTTGATGTTATTCACAGTTGATGTCATGTACCTGCCTTCTGAAAAGTTTGGTAGGCTTGTAGCAGTAGACTAAGCATTTACTGCTTAGTTGCCCATTTCTGCTGGTTAAAAAAAAAAAAAAAAAAAAAAAAAAAATAGGATTTGAATATGTGGCAGAGGGATGAGGTTTAGGAATCCTTCCATGATAGCTAGCAGGTTAGGAGTAATGTCCTTGGACCATTTTGAGCATAGTAAACAGTTTGTACTTACCAAACAGCTTATCATTGTATTTTGAATTACTAAGTTGATTATATACCATCTGTATACCTAAGGAATCTAATTTAGTAATAAGTTATTTTTAATTTTGATCAGTTGAATTGTGCAATGAGAATGTAGATGGACAGCTTTGTATCAGAAAGCCTTTACTTTTGCTATCATTCCTTGTGAAATTGGCAATCATGTACAAAATACATTTTCTCATTGTAGTTCTAAAGAAATGTATATTAAATCTGGGGAACTCTAGAAAGGAAGCAAAAGAAATATAACTAACCCAGGGGAAGATATAGTAAACATCTTTTCTTTCTCTTGGAAACTTATCCTTCCCTCATAATTATTATACTTTAAAAAAAAAAAGATTGAATAGAAAAATAGAATCCATGTGCTTTTGAAAGAACAAATCATGGCATTCCAAAAACTGCTAAATCTCACTTAAATTTTAATAGCCTTGTTTTGTTGATGGAGACAAGTGTCCTACTGTGGACCAGAAATCACTAGGTAGATGAAGCTAGCCTTAAACTTGGGACAATGGCTCTGCCCTTTTTTCCTCCCAGTAGCTAGGCATGCCTGGGTATTTTTTCTTTAGATAAAGCTTGTTTCACATGCAAAGCCTTTCCTAAACAAGTCATAGTATTTAGAAGGAATAGTTAAGGTGTACTTATGAAACCATACTTAGTATGGTTTTAGACTTTAGTATACTCTTCTGTGGTGATTAGCTTGTTGCATGGAGAATTGATCTAATGTGCATTATAAAAACTATCCACATTTCATGATCTTAAGCTATGTATAACTAGTGGCTAATATTGACAATGTAGGTATTTGTGGCCATAGAAATTGTTTGACAGTGTTTAGATTCCACAAAAGACTAGGCACAGTGGCATATGCTTTTGGCACAGGCACAGCACGCAGGGAGGCAGAGGCAGCAGGATCTCTGGGAGTTCAAGGCCAGCTTGGTGTAACAAAGGGAGTGACTGGACAGCCAAGCTACATAGAGAAAACCCTGTCGGGGGGGGGGGGGTGGTGGTTACTGAACAGATTCCACAAAAGGAGTAGTTTAAAGAAGAGGGGTATGAAACACTTGGGTTGGGAAGAATACAGTAGATCAAAATGATCTAAGGAAATCACTCCACAAACATACTTCAGAAAACAAAATAGGAAGGTAAGGTGCTGCTGTGCTAGGGAAATTAATTACTCATGAAGGTACTGAGTTTGTGGTTAACTTGCTCAGCATCATACATGGGGAAGGGGTAGCTCAAGTCTTGAGAACCTAAAGAACTACCTCCTAATAGGTAGAAGCTTCAGAAGATAACTTGCTGAGTCCTGTAGCTTTGCAGGGATATGGGCTGAGATTATGAGTGATAATCATGGAAACACCCTCAAGTGAGAAAAATATTTTCCCTTCCTGTTTGGCTTTGTGACGATGGTTTATAATTGCAATGTAGTTATTTAGTTCTTTTACACCAAACTAAATGCCCTGGTGTAAAGGCAGTGTATTGGCAATGTGTAAGAAAGAGTATTGAACTCAATTTTTGTTTGTTGAGCTAGGCATTAAATGTAGGGCCTCATGCACGTTAAGACAGTCACTCTGCCATTAATTTATACTCTCGGCCTCAAAACTATCCCCCTTAGGTAGTTTTATTGGAGGTCTTCCTTTTGTTGCTCTGTAGTCTTTCATTGCAAGTCGGAGTTGCACCTTGTGAAAAACAACGTCTGTATTTTTTAATATTAGAGACAGATTATTTTCACTTTTTATTTTGCTTTAAATCAATGCATTTCAAAGCCAGGTTCAGGTAACTGAAGGGCCTTCATAAGGAGTTTATACTGTCTAGACGCAAGGTATGCTGCAAACACAGTCTGAAGTAAAGTGGGAAGTAACATCTTTCTAAAGACAGGCTTAGAAACTGTAATCCAGTAATTTAAGATGTTTCCTTTCTGTGGTAGAGGGCTTGATTCATACCTGTAAGAAAGCATATTGATAATGAAACACATAAACCCATTTAAGTGTTACTGTAAACGTATCTAGAAGATAATGTCAGTCTTCCTTATTGGCATATGGTAAATGGGTTTCATAGACACTTTCTTTAATGCCTTTATCTTCTGTACTTGGTCTTAAAAATGATTCTGGTTTCTTGTCCCTGTTTAGTTCACCTCTGGGTACACAGAATAAATTGCTATGAGTTCAGAGAATAACTGGAATTTCTTTGGAGTAGAAGGCCTACAGGAAGCAGTTTTCTGATAGCTTTTTCCTTTAGGACACTCTTCAGAATATATGACATGGCTGTGGTGCTGGACCTCCAGCACTCACACTGGCTTGTTTTGTAGCAAGCTTTCAATACACAGATGGGCTGGAGAGATAGCTCAGAGGTTAAAGGCACTGGCTGTTCTACCAAAGGTTCTGAGTTCAATTCCCAGCAACTACATGGTGGCTCAAAATCATCTATGGTGAGATCTGATACCCTCTTCTGGCAAGCAGGATTATATGTAAGCAAACACTGTATACATAATAAATAAAAATCTTAAAAAAACAAAAAAAAAAAAAAACAAAACACACAAATGTAGGCCTGAACTACACAGCATACACCAAGAGGCACAGCATGACAGAGAACTCTCTTAAAAAACTACTGAGAAGGGAAACATTGTTTGGTCTAAATCGATTCAATCTGAGAACATATTTGTTCTTTTTAAGTTCTGAGTTCCTTTTTTTTTTTTTTTTTTTTTGGCTGTAGCAAAGCCTGCGCTTTACTGTGGATGATCTGAAGGAACACAGTTGGCCAACAGGAACTGGGCCTTGCTCTTGGTCCTGGCCACACAGCCCTCAACCACCATAGGTAAATAGGGACAGAATCTGCACAAGCAGCCCCTCCAGCTGCAGAACAGAAGCCCACTGGTAAGGGGCTCTGTGCCCAGCCTGGCACTGACTCCATCCCAGCAGTTAGGTAGTCATACAATTAAAGGTTTTTAAATGAGAAAATAGTCCTACCTGGCAGCAAGGCCCCCATTCACGGGTATAGCCAAAATGATGGGGTATAGACCACCCAGAACTAAACCAACTAGTGCACCCCGTGTCATGGTACAGGTTTCACAGTTCAGCTCACCTAGGAAATAAACTTTGTAAGTGTTGGTCATGATATTTAAGCAAACATGTCTTAAAGAATAGAAGGCTCACATTTTCAGTGACACAGGAAAAATGATGTAAGTCATGCTGTAAGAAATAATAGAGGATGAAATGTGGCTGTGGCTCATTGGGAATACACACTTAGCACGTATTAAGGCCTTGAATAGGAAATCATGATAAAAAAATAATTCTTGATTATGTATTCTCAGAAATTTGGATCAATACTTAAGAAAATAGAATGGCCCTCTTTGGCCCCTGTGGTCCTATCTTTGTTTCCAGTCAGTAGGACACACATAATAGGACCACTCACTCAGTTCACATGATGCAGTAACAGCTAAAATTTCTCTTTGCTAAATATGCATGCACATAGTACTTCAGAGGTTACAGAGTAGTATTCCTACAACATACTTTCCCTTTAAGAACTTCAAAACAGCTGGAGAGATGGCTCAGCAGTACTGGATATTCTCCCAACGGTGCCGAGTTCAATTCCCAGTGCCCATGTTGGTAGCTCACTACTGTCTATAACTGTCATCCCATGGGATCCAGTACCTTCTGGTGTGCAAATGGACATGCAGACAAAACACCCATATACATACTTTTTTTAAAGATTTTTTTTTTTAAAGCCTTCCATACAACGTGGAAATAAATGAGAAACAAAGGCAGCACTGTAGGAATACTTCAGGGAAGTGAGAAGTGTATATACACACACTCATTGTGCTGGTTGGTCTATTTAATGTAATTCAGTTGTAAAACAGGTTAGCAAGATTCAGTGTTCCCAAGTACTGCACTATCGCCTACAGCTACTTGCTATTAGGGAAAGCTGGGGATAGTACGCACTAAAGCAAACATGGGTGATAATGAAATTAAACATACCTGTACTCAAAGGTAAACTTACAGAACTCTCGTAAAACAGGTTTGCTGTCAGAAATGGGATTACGGCCATTGGTAAGCTAGAAGCTATTCGAGCTTGTGTGACATTCAAGATGCGCCGAAACAGACTGTTTGCTATTAGGCCACTGAAAGCAGCATTAAGTCCAATATATGCTGATCCACGTTCAAGTATATTCCTGAGTGTGAGGAAAAAAAACAATTTGTATATTCTCCAAATCTGGTATGTTACAGAACTTAACAGCACCCTGGGAAGAATTACCCCTTACAGGATCATAAAACCAAAATCAAATTATAGCTTCACATTTCTATTAGAAAAAGGCTACTGAAGTTGGGCAACACTTACGGATAGTGGTACTGGCCACACGCAGTTTGCGGGTTGACTTGAGAACTGTTTAGAACTTTGCTCTAAACTACATTAACAGGAAACATGGAAGAGAGAGGTGCTGGCTCTTTTGAGCTCTTGTGATACTTAAAAGGTAAAACACTCTAAGGTGGTACTATTTATTACTGACTTATACCTATTTTGTCTATGAACTTACCTGTAGACAGATGCATATTCAACTTCGTTTCAGTAGTATGGAATTAATGTGTTTACTTTTGCTCTTCCCTCGAGTATTAATATTCAGATTAGGAATTTGAGGTACCAGCATTATAGTGAGACTATGCTATAGTATCCTATGTAGTTTACAGTAACTCATTGATGAAAATTTAATTCATAATTTAACTGGAAAATGAATTTTAAGCCAAAATATTTGCTCTATTATGTTTAACTTTGGGAAATAGCTAAAACTATATAGTACGAACTGAGTAAGATCTTCAGCTTACAAGTCTGGTTTTGTGAGCTGCAGTATGGCTCACTGTTGCATGTTTCTAACCTCTCAACCCACTAGGGTAACCCTGAAACCTCCACTAAGTTCTATGTTTTTTTTGCTTATTTTCAAAGCTCTCCTAGGGCATCATTATTGAAGCATCCTGCATTTTATAAGATCATGCTTTCCTGACCTATCACTGCATTCACCATGCCTGTCATTCCATTCACTGAGAACCTGTTATGTAAAGGTGATTTGCTGCTAAAGCCACAAGAGAAGCTGCATTCTGCCTTGGAGGTTCTCATTGTTGGCTGCATGAGACGACACTGAAATTGAGGTTTTCAGAACTCTTAACGGCTCAGGAAATTAGAGAACTATTAAACGGCAGTAGGCCCAATTTGAGAAGCCTGTTTTTTGTAGGGGTTATACTGAGAACTTGAACACTTTTACAAATATTTAATATAAAAGGCATGAAATGGGACTCGCCCCTATCAACCATGCTCAGAAATAGTGAGGCTGAAACTTGAACATTTTGTTGTCTCCCAACTAAATAGTAATTTGCTCTGGTTGTAAAATTAATTGTTTTGTTTCCAAGCTAAATCCTAATCTTGCTCAGCTGAGTTCTAGCTCAATTCCCAGTGCTCTTTTCTAATTTGGTAAAGATCCCACTGGTAGCCCATTCTCTTCCTTTGTTCCTATCATCTTCTCAATGTTTTACGTAAGTTGTTAGGCTTCCCCTACCTGTGTAAGTGTTCTGTTATTTTATCTCAGGAAACAACTAAATGGGTAGTGTCTATGCAGGGATACACAGCCAAACCTCAACTTCAGTTCCTATTCATGCAGCCAACTATGAAAACCACCAAGGCAGAATGCAGCTTTTCCTGTGGCTTTAGCAACCATGTAAGGGTTACACACTCCTGAGGTTTATCAAGTGCTTAACTACTGTTCAGAATATAGGTAACATTCTGTCTTGTAAGACCTTGAGTGCCAACAAGAGGTGGTGTGGTTTCCATACCTGAAGATGCAGCAGTCTCTACAGTAATGTTTTATATCTTCCACCTCAGCTCTGTGTGTGTCCCAGGGTAACTTACTATGTGGGTTCTTTTCACTGGTGCCTCTCGCTTAACTTTAATAACTGGCTGGGATAGGCAGTAAAGTTAGTTGGATCATTTTGTTCCTGCTTGAAACCCTGTTGTGTCCACCTCTCTTAGTTTCACTGTTTCCTCAAATAGGACAGACCCTGGCTTTGTAAATTCTGTGATCCTGCTCTTCCTAGACCAACTCCCTTTCCTCCTTTTAGAGGTCCCATGACTAGGAAAAGTCAATCAGAGGGTGTAAGGCACCACCTACCTCAAGCCTGACAACCTGAATTTCCTAGCTAGAACCCACACGGAAGGAGAGAACGGACTCCTGGAAGTTGTCCTCTGACCTCAGTACAAGTGTACACACAGCTCAGCCTCTGCTTATCATTAAAGATGTAACTCAGACTGCCAGATGGACAAGGAGGTGTGAGCAGTCTGTAAGTCCACTGTAGCTGCTTACACTGCAATTACATCATGCTATTTTTTTTTTTCTCTCTCGTTTTTTTGAGACAGGGTTTCTCTGCATAATAGCCCTGGCTGTCCTCGACTTGCTTTGTAGACCAGGCTGGCTTCAAACTCACAGAAAGCCACCTGCCTCTGCCTCCCGAGCACTGAGGTCATAGGCGTGCTCCACTGTGCCCAGCTAGCATCATGCTTTTTAAATTATCCTTTTCATATTAGAAATCTTTAAACATCCATTTTCCAGTCATTCCATTTAGAAACATATTCCATGGTACTCTTACTAAAGGTAAGCATATAGAAATAGAGAAGAAAAAAAAAAGATAAATTCAAGTTCTTTTAAGTTATTTATAAATGGGTCCATACAGTTTTATATCACTCTAAAAGATGAATGGAAAGGTGGATTCATCAATTATATATTTCCAAAGACGAGTTCTAGTTTTAATTTCCACAGTGAGTTACATGATGCAGAAAACGGTTAGTGTCTCTGGGCTTCAGTTTTTTTCATCAAAGCAAAAATAAAGCTTAGTTTCCTTTAGTATCCTTTGTTATTTATATGTAATCCAACGAATTTCAGATAATCTGAACAAAATTCTTCTGGTAAAGATATTTTAATACTAAGGAATCTTACCTTTCTGGTTCTGGAAGTTGTTTAATTTTTCTTGATATGATATTAAGTATTAAATCTTCTTTGCTATTACTTGGTTTATGATTTTCCATCTTGGACCTAAAAAACATGACTTCTATTTAAAAAATAAGTATGTAAAAAGTCTTGTAAGATGCATAATTATGGAAGAGTTGTAGATTAATTTTATAATCTGAAAAATCAGTGTATACATAGCATATAACAAAAAACGTTCCCCCTCCCCCAATACAGCACAACAGAAACCAGAACATGAAAAGCAGCCCAGAACTGTGTAAGAGACTTCACAGTCCTGATTTCCTAAACAATTACTACTGGCCTGAAACAAAAATTATTGAAATGTTTAATTCAGACATGGTGACATGCCTGTAGGTGCAGCACTTGGGAGGTGAACCAGGAGATCAGCTCAGGGCTATTGGAGTTTAAGGCCAGCATGAGATACATGAAAACTTACCCACAGGTTAAAAAAAAAAAGAAAAAAAAAAAGCCTGAAGAACTTATGTTCAGTAGACAAGTAGAGGAAAATGCAACAGAGCTTCAAATCGTGAGAAAACAAAAAAACCAACAAGCAGTAAAACCTTGACAAGCCATTCGGTGGAAAACCAAGATCACATAGATGTGTCATTAGGTACCCAGGTTAGTTAAAATTAGAAAATTTCACTTGGAAGCCTTCAGGAAAGCTGTGACATGCTGCTGATGGAACTATAAAATGTATTTAAAGTGAGTGTAACCACTTTGTAAAAAACAACTTGGTGGCAAGGGCTAAAGAATAGTTGAGAGTGCAAAGAACTTCACTCAGTTCTTCAGCTCGCACAATAGGTCTGCGCACAACTCCAGGCAATCAGATGTCCTCTGACAGCAGCAGGTGTGTGCGCTAGTGCACTTGAACACACATGATTGAAAACAAAATCTGGGGCTGGAGAGATGGCTCAGGAGTCGATTAACTTCGTAAGATCGTTTGTTCCTGTTCCAGAGGACCCACGTTCAACTCCCGGCACCCACATAGTAGCTCACAACAGTGACTAAAGGTCCAGAGTGATCTGATGCCTCTTCTGGCCTCTGCAGACAAAGCACAAACGTGCACAAACACTTTGGAACTACTGGCATGACCTATGGTGATTTCTGTATCAGGGTCAATGTCAGAAGAATGGCAGATTAGTTTGCATGGACTCAGCTCTTAAAACAAACAAACAAAAAAACTTGGTGACACATGTAATACTGGGAAGCTGAGGCAGGAGGGTTGTGAGTTCTGGGCTATAAGCCAAGACTTGTCTCGAAACAGCAGTAGCAACAAAACCGAACAAAACCCAGAAATAACCTAATACACACCAGACTGTCTTGGGTCACCGTCCGGCCTTAACCTGCTACAAGTCCTGGGTATCTGTTTTACATACGGAAATGACTTGAAAAATGCTGCCTTGCACAACGCTGCATAAATCTCGACTCAAAATTAACCTCAAAAATACAATGCGGACTTAGACATTAGGTCAGGTTCCAGGACTCAAATCTTGTTTCTTCCTCCTGGTTCTTCTCAGTTAATAAATCCCTATCAAAGAGACACCCTTAAATACCACAAACCTTTCCTCTCCCGACCCTGGCATTAACCACTCACCACTCGGGAGGAAGGACGGTCCCTTCCGGCCGCGCCTCGGCCTCCGCTGCTCGCCCAGGCCCTCCCGCGCCCGACTTTAGCACGCCCTTCGCTCGGCTCCCCTCGGCTCCATCTTTGGCTGACACGTGACTGCGGCCGCCTCCGCTTCCTGTGGAGGGCTTCCGGTGGCCGAGAGGCGGCGGTCCCCGAGCCGGGGGACAGCCCACGGAAGCGGCCGTCGGCGGGCCGGCGTCCCGACGCCTCCCGGGCGCGCAGCCCGACTTCCGGGTCTCCGGGCTCGCTGCAGGCCCGGGCCGGCGGCGCCCGCGACCGAGGTAGCCCGAGGCCGGTGCCGTGCTCCGCCTCGTGGCTCTTCAGCTCTCTGTGCCATGTTGTGCTGTGGGTGACCTCCAGCAGAACGTGAGCAATTCCAGAGCGAGTGCTTGTTTTCCTCAGCATTCCCCGTGCCTTCCGGAACCCTGCTCTTGTGAAGCAGGGTTAGGGGAAGGTGGTGAGGAGGTAACCTGAGAGATGAGGGGGCCAGGCCTGACAGTGCACGCCTTAAACCTAGAATTCAGGAGTCTGAATTCTGAATTCTGCGAAGTCCAGGCCAGCCTGGGCTACGTACGGGTTCCAAACAAAACAGCCACGAGTGCTAGGGTCTCTGTAAGTCAGTTTGGAGCCAGATTTCTCAGGACTTCCGTCTCAGTTCTCATCTGCTCCTTTCTACATCTGCAAAAATAGGAGGGGACAAGATTCTTTGACTGGTTATTTTTGTACAGTTGTGAATAGACTATAAAGATACCTACCAAATTGAGAGTCCTGGAATCTTATCAGAGAACAATGAATAGAGCCTCGGAAAACTGACCTGAGAGGCAGCAAGTCAGCCCTAATAAAACCCAAACGTTACTCAGAGCCCTGTGGAACCACACCGGGGTCGTCTGCAGGAGCAGCAGTTGCCCTTAATCACTGAGCGTTTCTCCAATCCTGCTTATCTTTTCGTTGTTCGGTGCTCTGATTAGGACAGTGCTGGTTTCTAAGTGTAATTTAGCAGCGGGGATAGTTTGTATCTTTTTGACGTTATTTGCTGAATATTTGGTGGGATCACCAAGACTCCTGAGCCTGGGGTTTTCCTGGTGAGGAGGATTGTATCCATGAGTTCAGCGTCTGTATTAGATACTTGGTGTTCTACTTACAGATAATCTCAGACTGAACTTCGAAACTTTGCACAGGACAAAATGAAATGTCCTTTTGGTCTAAATTTTCAAGCTTATAAGATTAAATTGTTTAATATCTTTGGACTCATTTGTCTTCCCTTGACGGTGGTTTTTCAAATCTATGGTGCCTGATCAGTCTGGCTAATTAATTATAATTATTTTTACCTTCTTGGTTGGTTTTTGTTTGTTTGTTTGTTTCATTGATTTCCTTTTAATGTTGGGTTTTCAACGTGGATTTTTCTTCTCTGCTATTATGTCCTACATAAGTTTTCTTTTTATTTTCTGGTTTCTTAAGAGTGTACATAGGTGAGGTCATTGCTTTGAGATAATTTTGCTCTTTGGTATGTGTGTTTAATGTCAGAAGTTTCCCTCTAAGTAACTTTTGCTTCCACAGATTTTGAAATTTAATGCAAAATTATATTTATTTAATTAAAAGGTTTTGTAATTTCTTTTAGGTTTCTTGACCTATGGGTTATGTAGAAGTTTCTTGGTTTTGTAATCTATTTTTAATTTTCAGTTGAGTTCTATATTGCTTGGAGAACATAACTTGGTAGGATTTGAATCCTTTAAAAATGTACTGATATTTATAAGCAGAATCTGCTTGGTTTTACATGTGTACCTGATTAGAATGTGTAACTTCTGTTGTGTCAAGAGTTCCTGAAAGCAACAATGAAGACTCATTGGGTGGTTATGCTCCTTTGCTGTCTTTCAGCTTGTAGAGGTGGGGGTCTGTGTTGCTCTAATGGCCTGAGACTCCTGTGAATAGAAATGATTTTCCTCGCTCATCTCCCTGAACATCTACGAATGTAGGCATGTGCCTCTATGCCCAGGGGACAGTATTGTGTGAGTGATCGTCTAATTTATAATTCTTCCTAATTTATACCAAGTTTTATTTTAAGTAACAAGTTACTGAACTCTCCAACTGTTACAGGAAAATTTCCTTTTTTTTTCAGTTATTTTGTACATTTTCCAGCTCTGTTATTTGTTCAACAAAGGACAAATGTTCCTTGTATCATTGTGAAATGGCCTTCTTAACTCTTGGTAGTACTTATTATAAAACCTGCTTTAATACTAACACACCTACTCCAAAAACTTGATTCATTTCAGTACAAGAGAGGCCTGCCCTTGTATGTGCACACGCGTTTACCCGAGAGAATGGCGCTGATAAATGAGGCAGACTAGAGTCTCATTCAATAACCCACTTTATTCTGAGCACCAGACAATTTATACTTGGAGGGTTACGAGGAATCACATGAGTATACTATACCCTCACATGGGCAAGCCGCATGTAAAGAACATATTTCCATAGAGGCATATAAATAAATAACAATAGCCAGCTGTAATGAATAATTTAAGTACACTTACTCCTATCTCCTACATCCGGGAGGGGCAAGAAAGCATAATTCAAGAACAATGGTGTATTTTTTGAGGAAACTGAGGGCACAGAACTCTTGTCATGATTTCTTGGAGTTTTTTCACAATCGCCCAGGACCCTCATGACTGCATTCGTGGACTACGTTCTGACACGTTACGGGTATCTGCACACCTGTGTGCAGATGGATGGCGGAGGTCAGCATGGGTGTCTTCCTCTATTCCTCTCTCATTATTGTTTGAGATCGGATCTCCGTGGAACCTGGAGTATACCGACTCAGTAAGAATAGCTGCCAGCAGCCCCAGGATCCTCTTGTTTCCCAGGCCTGGGATCACAGGTGTACCTACCACAGTTAACGTTTACATGGGTGATAGCGATCCAAAGCCAGATCCTTGGGATGCATAAGCTATCATTTTTCCTTTCACTGGCCATTACAAAAACAAAAAACAAAAACTTTCAAATCAGGAAATGTACATTTACCCTTTTATTTGTCAGTTTCAGGATTCTTTGTTCATTTTCTGACTCTAAAACCCAAAATACTTCCTTTCACATTTCCAGGATGTGGATTTGTTCACATTTTATGAGTCTAAGGAAATTTTAGTCTACAAAGTTAAGTATTGGTTTGTAGAAAAACTACTGATTTTTGTATGTTGATTTCATACCCTTCAACTTTACTAAACTTATTAGTATGGATAATTTTGGAGTGGATTCTAGGTATTCTGGGTTCACAATTGTATCACCTACAAATAAGGACACATTCTTTTTCTCCTTTCCCATTTGGATGGTCTTTATACTTTTTTTGTGTGTGATTGCTCTGGATAGTACTTTTTTGGTTCTGTGTTGCATAACTGTGGCAATGTGGGTGTTCTTGTAGGAAAAGATTACCTTACCCCTATGAGAATAAGGTTAATTATAGGTTTGCCATATATGGCATTTATTATGTTGAGATGTATTTCTTCTGTATTAAATTTGCAGTTTTTATCATGAAGGGATGTTGAATTGTTTCAAATGGTTTTGATGCAACTATTGAAACAATAATATATAGGTTTGTCCTAAACTAAGTTAATGGGCTGTAGTTCACTTACTGGTTTGTGTATGTATTTCACTTAATGGTTTGTGAATCATTTTTGCATTCTCAAAACAAATCCCACTGGATGGTGTACCATCTTTTTGATGTATTGTTGGTTTGCTATGTACAGTAATCTTTAAATAAAAATATTTTACCTTTCTTTATTAGTGTTTGTCTGTGTTTGCTTGTAAAAGAAACTTTATTTGCCAGGCTCACTGTGGGAATAAGATCACCCTTTCTAGCTCTTTCTGGACTCTAGCTGGCTGTTTCAACTCAACTGTTCTGGTTCAAACTCCTCTCCAAGCTGACCGATTCAAATCTGGATTCTCTTGGCTTCTTCTGAATTGCTCTGTTTCTGAACTCCATGAGCTGAACTTCACAGAACTGCAAAAACTCAAGTGAACTCAACTGCACTCCACTGAACTGCACCAAACTGCCTGTACTGTATTCTACTGTATTGTTTTCTCTACTTTCTCTCTATTGTACCCTACTATACTCTCTCAACTCTACTACTTTTAAGTAGCTTCTCTTTCCTGTCTGTTGGGCATATCTCATCTCTAACGCATTCTTTCAAATCTTTCATTTGTCACTTTGTCTTCCCTTCAACTAGCCATTACTTCCAAACATGGGTGTTTCCTTCTACAAACTAACTTTACCTTCATTGTTTGGGATTAATGGTGTACTAAGGGTATGTCTGTTTTCCAGCCAGAGGATTTAGAAGGTCTTTGGATGGGATCCCTTGCCAGAGCAGCCATGTTGCTGGATTAAAATTCCTCTACATTGCTGGTCAAGGTTCATATATATAGGTCACAGAACAATGTGTGGAAGTCATTTCAGTCCTTTTACTTTGTGAGTCTTAGGGATTGAACTCAGGTTGTCAGGTTTGGCAGCAAGGGCCATTACCGGGTGTCTTAGTTACTGCGCTATTGCAGTGAAGAGACGCTGTGACCAAGGAAACTTTTAAAATAGAGCATTTAGTTGGGGACTTGTTTACAGTTTCAGATTGCTAGTGAGTGATACAACTCCTCCAATTAGGCCACACCTCCTAAATCCTTCCTCAACACCCCTCCAACTAGGAACTAAGCATTCAGATATATGAGTCTATAATGACATTTTTATTCAAACTGCACAACCACGGAGTCATCTTGCTGGTGTTAGCAGCTCTCGTGGTAGCTGTTATAGTCTGTTTTTGTTTCCACAGTGTCACTGGCCAAAGTCTAACTTCTGTGGTGGATTGAATAAGATGTCCTCAATAGTCTCGGGAATTTGAATACTTGGGCCTTGGTGGTGCTGTTGGTGCGGTTTGGGAGGCATAGGGTGTGTGGCCTTGTTGGAAGAAATACGTGATGGGAACAGGCATTGAGGTTTCAAAAGCTTCATGACATCCCAACTTGTGTTCTCTGCTGTCTGTTTACATCCAAGATATGAACCTTCAGCTTCCTGTTCTTGCCACCATGCCTTTGTTCTTCCAACCTTCTAGAGCCCAAACTCATCTACAAGTTGCCTTAATCATGGTGTTTTGTTATTATATTGTATATAAGCATACAATATAACATTGTGTCCCACAGTGTACTCTTTTGTCTACATTTTCTTAGTTGCAAAAGTCATTGCAATAAGTTATTTTCCTGGTTTGAGGCCTCTGGCTTCTGCTACACTATCAATACTGGATCCTCACCAGGACTCCTCTCAGATATCCTGTTGTTGACCTGTGTTGTAGAGATTCTTCAGCTTTGATCTGTAGGACCGGCTCCCTTCACACAGTCCAATAGTTCATAGACGGGCTAGATGTTGGGGTGAGCAAATTCAAAGCCCTGAATCTGGGCCTGGGTGGTATATGAGCTGGTCAGCCCGCACTCACATACTGCCCAGTCTAGCTCATGGAGTGCTACAAACTGTCAAGGGGCAGAGCCAGTTCTTCTCTCATGTCCTCAGAGCTGGCTTACCCATGAGCCCTGCACCCAGGGCCAGCTTTACTATGCTGCCCAAGAGAGCTGGCCTTGCAGTTCACATGGGTGCTGTGGAGGGACAAGGCCAGCTCTCTCATGATGCCAGGCCGAGGGTGAGGACATCTCTGCACAGCCCTCAGACATCAACATGGCTGTAGGTGGTCCAGACTAGGAAGTCCAGCTAGCCTTTGATGGTAACAGACCCAGGCATGGCAGTTGGTGGCAGCACAGGGCAGGACCTCATGATGGCCTTAGGTGGCATTGCTGGCAACTCAAATCAGGCCATTCCTCATTACCTTTGAGCCTCCCGTTCTACCTCTCTTCATTGTGCACACATCCTTCTGCTGTTGCTTCTCATTCATCACTCCACTACTTACCTGCTCATTTTCGTGTCACCCAAGGCCTCCGGGTGTCTGGGATCATCTCAGGAGTGCTATGCCCTGCCTGTGCTGTGTGTGGTACCAGGCAGGGTTGTCTCGGGTGTGATCTGCCCACCTGGGCCCTGTGGTGCCAGGCCAGGAGTGGTGTCAGGCTTGATCTTGCCGTCTATGTTTTCCCACATTTTCCTTTCTCATGAACTTCCAATTCCTCCTTCAACATTCTGCTGATTTCACTTTCCGCCACAATATCATCTGCCTAAATAGTTAACAGTTACAATCTCTTACAGTATGTGTTCATATGTATTTTTCTCTCTGATAAATCTTTAAGGATCACTTATCACACGCACAGTGCATGATGCATTGCAGGTACTCAAGTGTATCTGTACAGGTCAGACCTGAGGCTCCAAACCCACTTCTATACACAGTGACGAAAGAGGAAACGTGTATTTGTTTCACATTTATATTTACTGAGATCTAATAAATACTAGGCAAAAGGAACAGAGTTACTTTTCATTGTTTGACCAGTGCCCAAGTCCTTATTATAAAATGATCCATTCTGCTGAATTGGCCTCCACTGATTCTTTGATTAATCTTCACGAACACTGTTTGCATGTCTTTCATATATAGTATAGTGGCGTAAGCCATGAAACACTCCAAATAACACCTGAAAGAGTAGAGGAATGGCCATTGCTTTCATCCCAGTCTGACAAAGGAGTAACCAATGGAGCATAACTCTTCCTCTTGGTGGCAGTGGAACAGTGTGATACCTGAAAACGAGAAACAGTTAGCCATGCCTCCTGGATGCTACCAAAAGCCACTCATTTCCTCTAGTCATTCCGGGGTAGGTCTACCTTGTAGTTAAATGTTAGCAGGCTATTTTGTTTTCATTAGCCTGTAGCTAAAGAAAAAGAAGTTTATTAGCAGACCCTGCCCATCCCCTACCAAAGGCAGATAGGAATGAAAAAAAAAAAGAGAAAGGGCTAGAAAGATAGTTCAGTCAGTAAATGGCTTGCCATGCAACTCTGAGGACCAAAATCTGACCCCAGAACTCAATTTAAAAAAAAAAAAAAAGCCAAGCATGGTAATGTGTGCTTATAACCCAGTGCTACTGAGGCAGAGACAGGAGGATCTCTGGGGCTCGTTGTCCAGTCAGCCTAAAGGCAAGCTTGAGGCCCGTGGTTTTCAACCTTGCTACAACCCTTTAATAGTTCCTTATGTTGGGATAAGCCCACCCATAAATTTATTTTTGTTGCTACTTTATAACTGTAATTTTGCTACTCTTATGAATCATAATATAAATAGCTGAGTTTTCCAATGGTCTTAGATGACCTCTGTGAAAGGATCAATTGACTCCAAAGGGGTCATGACCCACAGGTTGAGAACTATTGCTCTAGACCAAAGAAAGACCCTATCTAAAGTAAGGCATAGTGGCATATGTTTAATCCCAGCACCTACAAAGGCAAGCAGATCTCTGAGCTCAAAGCCTGGCTGGTATACATAGTGAGCTCCAGGCCTTTCATGGCTGCAGTGAGATCTTGTCTCAAAAACATCAAATCAGGTGAACGGCTCTTGTTGACTTCGGGCTACATTTACATTGGCACACACATGCATGCATGCACAGAAAGTGGGGTAGGAACAAAAATAAAGAAAAGGGGAGAAGAAGGAATGGGCACACTTACTTAACTGCCAAACGTCCATTTTTATAAAAAGCCAAAGCACTGGGATATGAAAAACCACATGCTACGCCAATCAGCGAACTTCTCAAAACACAGCTTTCCTTGCTTATGTTATCTAGAAAGTGAAAGAAAAGTTGGTTTCCCTTTGAGACTTGGGATAACAACAATTAAAATGAAACTGTCTCTCAAAGCGCAGTTATTTTGCTGTTTGTAACCACAGTTAAAGAGTAGAAAGGATATCAGGAATTCAAAGTCTGGCACTTTGCAGGCTCAGCCACATCTTGTTTTAAAACTATTTATTTCACTTTAGTATATTATGTGTGTTTTCTTTTTGTTGTTGTTGTTTTGTTTTATCTTAAGTTTTTTGAGACAAGGTTTCTCTGTGTAACATCCCTGGCTGTTTTGGAACTTGTAGTCCAGGCTGGCCTTGAACTCAGATGTGCCTGCCTCTGCTTCTCTGGTGCTGGGATTACACTTATGTGTGCTTTTTATTTTCTATGTGTCAAGTATATGCTAGGGACCAGGAAAGTAACAGTCCTTAAAAGAAACCTTTTGGTAGATTGTGGTGTCACAGGCTTTTAATCCCAGCATTCAGGAGGCAGAGGCATGTGGCTTGAGATTGAGGACAGCCAGGTCTACAGAGCAAGTTCCAGGACAGCCAGGGCTACAAAGAAAAATCCTGTCTTAAAAAGCCAAAGAGAGAAAGAGAGGGAGAGCAAGTTTCTGGTTGGTACGTCAGAAAGGGAAGTCATTTGAAACATTAAATGGGGCTGGAGAGATGGATCAGCACTTGGGTGCACTCGCTGTACTTGCATAGGACCCAGGTTCTGCTCCCACACAGTGGTTCGTGCCCACTCCTAACTCCAGTTCTGTGGAGAACATCACTTGCCTTGCTTCATTAGGACTGTTGCATAGATCAAACCAAGAAATACACATATGTGATAAAACAATATACAAAATGTCTGCGAGTACTAGAAACATTTGTTAATGAGTTAACTTTAATTCTCCATACCCACGCTAGGTCCTGATGAGTTTAAGTTTACCTGAATGCAAAGGGTCAGTTACAAAGAGCTTGTAAGTAACGATGGTAGCCAAAAATGGAAGTGTGGTCAAGGATGCATAGGTCTTCAAAGCTTCATACTGAACCTTGAAGCTGTTTCTGAAAATTAAGTTTGCAAGTATTCCAGACAAACTCCCACTTGCTCCAAAGACTAAAGTTCCACCTATGTTTAAAGTCCTAATAGAAACAAAGAGAAAAGTTTAAAATGACACTCTTGAGATGGAGCATATAGTTAGCTAGCATCAGATATCTATTATTAACAGAATGGTCTCAAAGAGAACCAGCTATGTTCATACGGTTAGCCTGACTAGAAAAGAACTACTTATGAACTGGTCCAGATACACTTGTCTGTGGTTTATGAAACTTCATTCGATGAGATCTGACAGATTTGGTTTTACTGAATCCTGGCTCATACCTGAAATCAGGATGGCTCTAGTGTGTAACTGTTGTTTGACTTGAGTTCTTTTAATAAAAATCAAGACAGTAGCATGAGACCATCCTGTGCCATAGTCCTTTCTGCAGCCCTGGCCCTTTCTGTCCGCAGTACTTTGCTTGAGATCATTAGCGCCAAACAGAATCTCTTCTTTTTCCATTTTGTGTGTGTGTGTGTGGTGGGGGGACATGACACTGCACAAATGAGTTGTGAGGTTGATACTGGGGACTGTCCATGATTGTTCTACATTCATTAAGGCAGGCTCTCTCCAAGTCAGCGCTCACATTAGTGCTGCGTGCCAGCTTGCTCTGGGGATCACTTGTCTCTGCATCTAGGGCTAGAACTACCACACCAACCTCGAATTTCTATGGGTTTCTGGGGGATCCAAACTGTAGTCCTCACAGCACTAAGTCATCTCTCAGCCTTGCTAAACTGTTCTTAACCATAACTGTTCATTGGTAAAATTCAAGTAGCCTTCAAAATGGCTTCCTAGTAATCACTTTTAATTTAAAAAATATTTGTATAAGAATATTACAGCTTTTTTTTTTTTTTTTTGAAGAAGGGGCATGGTTCCCAGGACCCTTATCTGAAGGCTTACAACAGCCTCTAACTCCAGTTCCAGGGTACCCAAAGTCCCTTTCTAGCTTCTCCTTGCACACATAAACAGCATACAGTTACACATGCACACATATAAATAATAAAAAATCTTTTAAAAAGAAACAAAAGAAATTATCCACAGTCTAACAAACTAATATTTCAATTCACTGCTATTTCTTGGTAAGTAGTTTTTCTTCTTTTCTATGAATTATTTGTTACATGTGTTTTCAAAACTTTTGTAAAGGCATGTTTTGGAACTTCAATGTTGACAATTCTCCTCAAACTTTCCCTCCCTACATGTAAATATCTAGACCATGGTTCTCAACCTTCCTAATGCTACGCCTTTTAATACAGTTCCTCAGGTTGTGGTGACACCCAACCATAAAACCATTACTACTTCATAACTGCAATTTTGCTACTGTTAGGAACCGTAATGCAAACATCTGATATGCTGGATATCTGACATGCAACCTCCAAGGGGGTTATGCCCCACAAGTTGAGAATCACTGATCTAGCAGATTCTCTTCTTAGAGAACTGTTTAAGACAGCAGTTCAAGCTGCCACTGGAAGCAAACTAATTCTAAGAGAAACTAAAAATCTACAGGAAAAACATTTTGGCAAAATGTTATAGTGGTGACACTACCCAGAAAATGAAACTTTTGAAGAGACAAACAGAAGAAGCAAAAAGTAAATAGTTTTTTAATCTTCAGAGACTACTGTAATAGAATGTGCAAGTAAAGTTGTTGACTTGGTTATCAATCTCTTACTCTTTTCTATAGTATTCAAACTTCTTTTCTATGATTTCGGTTATCACTGGTCTTCTGAGCTTTACATCTTCTAGAGAAGGAATCAGCTGACCATGTTTATAAACTGCCATCTTGATATCCTGGAAAACACAAATTCCAGAGTCATAACAGCCAACTATACTAGTAGTAAATAAAATTTTATACAGACTAAAAGCACTTATTAGTGTCTAGGAATGTTTTAGGTACTGTGTTATTTGCTTTTACATATTTTAAGAAAATGGTTCAATCACTATTTATTAGGCTCTTAACTGTTAAGACAATGGGTTTTTCTGAGTTACATAAAAATTGAGAAAATGATTATTTTTGTGTTTACGTATGTGGTTGTTTGAGTAATGGCCCCACAGGCTCATATATTTGAATGCTTAGTCATCAGGGAGTAGCATTAAATGAGGATTTAGAAGGATTAGTAGTTGTGGCTTTGTTTGAGGAAGTGTGTCATTGGGGATGGGCTTTGAGGTTTCAAAAACCCATGCAAGGCTAGGTGCTTCTCTGTCTGTCTGCCTGCCTGTCTGTCTCTCCTGCCTGTGGATTAGTATGTAAGTTCTCAGCTACGAGGCTCCTAAAATAATAATTGACTAACCCTGTAAGCAAGCCCCCAACTAAATGTTTGTTTTATAAGAATTACTGTGGTCATGGTGTCTCTTCACAGCAATAGAACACTGACTGAGACAGTAGATTAGAAAACTGGGTTTCAGAAAGCTTGTCTTGCCACTGAGATGGTGATTTTTTTTCCAGTATATTTTCCTCTGTTCATCCAAAAAAGTAGAAGTGTCTGTTTTTAATCCTCTTCAGAAATACTACCTGCTTCAGAAACAGCTTATTGACAACAATCTCGTCTTAGTTTGGGTTTCTATTGCTGTGAGGAGACACTATGACCACTGCAACGCCTCTAAAGAAAATGTTTACTTGGGACTGGCTTGTACTTTTCAGAGGTTTAGTCCATTATCATCATGGTGATAAACATGGTGGCATGCAGGCAGACATGGTGCTGGAGGAGCTAAGAGTTCCACATCTCAACCCTCAGTCAGCAGGAGACTGTGTGCCCCACTGGTCATACCTTGAGCATAGGAGACCTCAAAGCCTATCCCACAGAAACACACCTCCTAATAGTGCCACTCCCCATGGGCCAAGCATTCACGTTTATGGGGGCCATACCTATTGAAACCACCACACTTGTCTTCTCTCATGAGAGCTTGAGCTTGTTTTGGAGATTATTTTGGGGGTAAGGGTGGGTAGGAGAGAACAGGGAGTGCTTTGGAAAATAGAGAAGAAAAAAAAAAATCAGAAATGGGTACCATTCCAGCCTGGTAAGAGGGAGTGCATCACTATCTTGGACTTTATGTTGTAATTCAGTTTTCTAGTAGGCCCTAGGGTAGAAAGGAGGGCTTTTGACAGAAATAGCTACACGCTATACTGTGAAGCTTAGGCTCTTGGCAGTGGACTCAGGGACTGACTATAAGGTCCCTGTGTCCCATGTGATAAGCAGATAGTTGCCAACATTGAGAGAACACAAGGGCTTCGCCAAGGTGAAGAAAATAAAAATAAATTTCAAAAGGATCCTTTCTGAGTGTCTGCCTATGGGTACGACTTTTCGGTCTTTGTAGAAACATTTGTTAAATCCTTTGGTACTATAGCATCATATAGCCTAAGAGTTTTAAATTTCATCCAAACAAAGATATATGGATACTTCCTGCAAATTCAAGTTTTTGGTTGTAAATATTTACTTTTTTCATCAGTGAGAAGTCTACTGATTCAGAATTCTGTGCTTTTTCTTTTCTTTTCTACATTTTCTGGATTAGTGCATGAAAAGTTACAAAGCCAAAGCACTACTGAAGATTAAATGTTAACATTTATGAGTTGTGAACATATAATAAATCTCAAATTAATGAGAAACCAAAAGATCCAGATACTAGGTAATCAACACAAACAAAGTTCCTTGATCTTCTTAAGGTGGTATATGACTGAACAAAAGACCAGTTCCTCTGCCTCAATACAGAATGGTATCCAACTCAGTTCTTTAAGATAGGTAAGGAAGATGGGGGGGGGGGGGAGAGCATAAAATGCTTTACACATTATAATTTTTTATTTTAGGGACTAGACTTAAATCTCTTGCCTTTTCCCCCCTCTGCTACCCAAATGGAAAATGGAAGAAGAAACAGTATTTTCTAAGTGTGATTCTCGACCCAGTCCATCTAGTGTACTATGAAGGCAGATATCAATAATGTCACAGCTAATCAAAAAACCTTACAGAAATTTTTGTTCTGCTCTCACCCAATTCACGCAACAGGGCACTGACACCACTGACAACACCTCACCACTGACAAAAAATTTACAGGCCCTTGAAAGAGCTGGGGATAGGAGCACCCACAATTATGGTTGCAGGATAGTAAATACTGAAATGAAAAACGACAGCAAATACTTTTGGCGTCTGGTGTTTGCAAAGTTTTCACTACACTCTTCTTAATTAAAGCAGATACGAATTTTTAACTTTCTCTGAGGTTTTTATTTCTTTTCCTGGTGTTGGGATAGACGTCGAGCTTCAGGCCCCATAAGCGCTCTGGTCTTTCAACAAGCACTGAAAATGAAGGGTTGTTTTTTTTTTTTTTTTTTTTTTTCTGCCACAACCAACTTTTAACCTAAAAGTTAAGGAAGTTCAAAGTCACTCAATCGATCGCCATCCTTCTAACAAGTAAGTTCATTTGTGTGGGTGCCTGCTTTGAGAAGCGTTTTTCTCTGTGTTGTATTTTTAAGTGTATTATTTGAGTTGACCTTCACAATTTTATTCAACATTCTCACATGATTCATCCAGCACTGGTGTATATCAGGTTCTCAGGTAATCAAGAGCGAATGTCTTCAAGAATCCATCCCAAACTGGCGCTAAAGTCAGGACGAACAAAATCAATAAAAGGCAGGAGACTTAAACGGGATGAGAAAAATAGAGGCCGTGCCGGGTGGGGGAAAGCGAGAATGTTCAGTTGAAGAAAGGCTTGCGAAAGGTCCTCACAAGGTACGTTTAATCTGGAGTAGACTTCAGGTCTACGTGGTTAGGAACTGGAGATGTGATCGCGCCCTGTGCATAAAGCCGGGACCGGTTCTCTCTCTTTGCTCAAATCCTTCACGTGCACCATCTCCTCCAACCCCGGTTTCCGCCTACCTGGGGCGCTTCGCTACCTCCCTCCTGCAGCACATTGGTAGCCCTCGATTCAGACCAGGTCTGTCGCTCGGACGCCGCCATCTTGGCGCCTCACGTGACTGGCGGGAGGGTGTGGCCGGAGCGCCAGGGGCGGGACTTGCAGCTGGCTGACAGCTCGCCTCTCTGGCCGGGTCCGCCCCGCCCCAGTCAGAAGCCGCGCCCTCCGGCGGGCGGAGACTGGGCGTGGCGTCCCCAAACGGCGATCGCTCATTGGCTCCGAGAAAGGCTCCTGCCCCCCCCCCCAGGGCCCGCCCTCGGCCATTCCGGCTTGTCCTCTGCCTGCAATTTGTCAGCCTGGCCGCCTCTTGGCTAAGCAGAAGGGAGCCTGGGGCGGTCCGGGCGCGGGCCTGTTGCTGCGCGCCTTCTTCTCGGGGCGGCTGGGGTAGCCGAGCCCTCGCAGCTCGCTCCTACGGCCTGGTCGCTGTGTTAAAGCTGTGGCTTCTCGGGTTCCTCCTCAGAGCCTCCAGCCCGCCTCCTCGGCGCGGCCAGAGCAGCACGGACTAGCCCGCTCTCCCAGTCATCAGTCCCTTCACAGTCCACCCTCCAGCCCCGCTCGGAAAGGGTCCAGTTAGCACCCACCTCCCCCTCCCCAGCTCCCCACAAGAGCCCTGGCGGCCAGTGTTTCAGCGGTGGAGGGTGCTGCGAGGAGGCCAGGCGCGCTTCCGTGCACGTGAAATGCCCGGCAGCGTCGGCCAGACCTGCAACCCCCGACCCTCCAGTCTCCATGTCTTAGGCAAGCCAAATTCGAGAGTTATATAATTTCTAGTGCTGCTGTTTCTCTTGCCCGAGGAAACACTTCATCGCGTGGAGGGTGCAGGACATTTCGGTGCTCTCCTGTATAAGATCGGGGTGTGGGCAGGGGTGGCCAGCGGTGGCAGAGAAATGTCTTTTCTGCAAAAGGAAGGTGGGTAGCTTGGAGAGAGACTGAGAAAGGGTGCGTGTGGAAGCCAAACAGCTGCACTCCCATCTAGGAAATCGCGGACTATTTGCATAGTGTGTGATTGCATGCCTAATCCTACTACAGCGTCTCTGAAAACACCTTTGGGGGAAGGTTTGGTTTCTCCTTTCCAGCAGCCTCAGTGTTTTTCCTCGCCTGATAGAGAGCTGCTTGGATGCGAAGAGATGGCATGATGTGCATGACTCCAGTGTGAAGAAGTCGGCTTCGCCAAATCATCCTGCATCAAGTGCCCATTGAATGGCACTGTCACTTTAATGTCTCCATGCCAAGGGATCGCTTTCCTTCTTTTCAATCCTCTCAGTTAATACACGGGAGGATCAAAATCAGAAGGGCATTAAGGATCAAGCCTTGGGGGCTTGGAGAGCACAGAAGAAAAATATGAAAGTGACAAGCTGGATCCTATTTTACTGAGGGGGTGAGATACAGAACCATTAAACAGAAGGGGGCCTTTGCGTCTCTCTTCTGCCCCAGAAAACTGTTCAAACTCACACACCCTTTAAAAGACTAGAGTCATATGTTTTAAAAAGTATTTTTGAAAGGGAAGTTTAAACTTTTTTTTAATTGATGCTCTTCATTACCAGCAATTTCGATCATGTATAACTTAATGAGACAACGGTTCTAAAATTGGTTTGTGCCTTAATTGAGTTAGACGTTGAACATCTAAAAGTGTTGCTGCCTGAAGAGGAGTTTTAGTAACATTTTCTATGCGTATAATAACTTTCTCAGCTTCTAAAACAAGAACACATATTTTACGAAAGTTGAAAAACTTGTTTTTTGTTTTTTGTCTTCTTTGAACACCATGGGCAGTGTAAAATGTTTGGTTGTGGAAAAATGCATCATTGTTTTCTTTATTTGAAATAGAAGACAGCCTGGATATCAAGCTTTGCAAACCGTGACGTGGTTTGCAACAGTTAACCTGGCTCCTTCTCAACTCAGCTGGATCAAGCAGAGACTTGGAAAGAGGTCTGAGTCCAGTGACAGTGGAGAGACCCAAGAATGCCAGTCCAGAAGAAAGGTGGGCTTTGAGGTTCCTACATAACATACACTTTTCCCTTTTCTTGGCTCTGGTATTTGTAACTTAAATTGTATTCCATTGGAGAGCAAAATTTTGCCTGGTTTTGAGTAAATACTTAATGCAATGCTATCATCTCAGTAATACTTTTCCAGTAATATTTTGTTATAGTAAAATTAAGATGCTATTATGGACTTGTGTGAATTAATCAACCAGGCAGTTGATGGCACCATTTACCATCAGAATAAATTCAATGCTGTAGATTTTGGGGTTTTCCTTAGCTTATTAAAACTCAGTTTAAATAATCCTTAACAAAGAAACTTGTAAAATGGAGCTCTTCTCGATGAGCTTAATATTTACTGAATGGCTGTGTACTTGTAACAGATGGCAATATTTGTGTTTACCCGGAGCAAGAGTATAGCTTTATTATTTATACTTAAAAAGAGACTTCATGTCTGAGTTTACTCCAGTGTGAATCTTCACTTTTGTGGTAATTCACATCCTTGATACTTTATTCTGCATTATTCAGCAACATGTTTGGGAAGTTCCTGTGAATCAGGCATGCACTTGTTCCTTTCTTCCTTTCCATAGCCCTGATCACTTTGATCAGTTTAGCCTGAGATGAGCTTTATTCCATAGGAGCTTAGTGAAATCAGCACTTTCTGTTTTTAAAGAAGATATCAGTAGTAAAGGTTATGGAGAATTTTGAATAAAAATTTAGACTTTTTGAATCAAAATTTAAACTTTTGAAGTTTAGTGTTCTGGGCTAGTATGATCCAAATGCTGTCCAGTTATATTAATTGCTACATATTGAACTTGAGACGTAAACTGTAGGTTAGATTCTAAGACATATTTTCGAATAAAATCTAGAGAATTGATCAGGCTTTTAATGTTGTTTAATCTATCTACTTATGGGTTTGGAAGATGTATTGAGAAATATCACAGTCAATGTGATGCCTTTTTTTGGAAAAAGTTTATATAAAGGGGGACAGAACTAACAAAAACTGTTGAAATATCTAGAATTGTGCTTTTGCACCCTGGGGTTGAAAAATAGAATTGTTTCTTCCACTATTATTCCCCATAAGACCACTGAAAGGGGTGAGCTGTCTTTTATATTTTGGAGCTGTACCTGGCTATGTCAGACATGATCTAAATGGAACAAGAAAGAAGGATTTGGGAAATGAGGCCAATAAACAATGTCTTTGATTTCTTTAACTCAGTGTGTGTATTTACTTTCCATTTCTGTAGATGAATATTTTTGGAGTACTTTATTTCATTGTGCTAATTATTAAAAATGACAGAGAGAGAAGGATGGGAGGGGGGATGGAGGAAGAGAGAGGAAAAAATTAAAATTGATCTAAAATTAAATCTAAAATTGATCCAAAATTAAAATTGGTCTATGTGTAACTTAAGTATCTATGAAGCTAATAGACTCATTTTCTTAAAAGTTACTATGTTTTAAAAACATCTAGAAATTGTCCATATATTATTGAAAACTAATAATTCAAGAAAAAATGTTATAGTTGTTCGCTTTGTTTTCTTTTCTTCTTTAAAAAATGAGTTAATATAATGGGATAAAATTTTAAAGGTGATGAACAAGTTCTAAACAGGAATATATTTGAATAACACTAATGTAACTGCATTATAGAAATCATTTAATGAATGATCTAGAAAATTTTTAATTTTTTAAAATTGTTAATATAGTTTTAAATAGAGGTAACTAGTCAAATCATTCTATGTGTTCTGTATTTTAATTGCTGAGCTTGCTATTTCTACTGCTGCTGCAATGTAAGAAAAGTGAGATTTTTGAATTAGATTGTATCATAAGACCGTCCTTCCTTCTTTTGAATGCTTTTTCAATTTATTGTTGCATGGTGTAGAGATGCTAGAAGGAGCTAGACTTACTGTGATTTAAGATAACTAACCCCACTGAGCCACATGTCTACTCATTGTCAAGTATGTCATTATCAGAATATGAAGTTTTCCTAAGACATATTTTCATTTGGCGCTTATTTTGCATAATATTGTCATGACAGAGAGGAGACTTCCTCAATGATAACCTATAAACACCCTGGGAAGTGGGATGGGTGTGAAATCTCACCAAGCCCATTTGAGGGACCTATTCTTGGCCGCCCTTGGGCAAGCTACACCTCCCCTCACACTTCCTCCTCTACTCTGTGGCCATTATGCCATTACTTCCTACCTTTTCTACCCTTGCTCCACATTTTTACAGACTGTTTTTTATCAACTGAATACTCTTCTGCCTGGTTGTTACAATTTTTTGAGGTTTTGTTTTGTTTTGTTTTGTTTTTTTGTAATTCAGGGTTCTGTTATCTGTAGTAGTAACTCGATTTGCTCACAGTTGAACCTATAGGAGAATCTTTGACAAACTTTTGTTTTCAAAAATGTAAAATTAATCCAGGTAAAACATGACATAAGATCATGAATGGCTGAATAAACTTCTTAAATGAAAAGAATTTCATGAAAGAAATGAAAAGAATTGAAGAAAAGAATTTCATATTGAATTATAATGTTGGAAAAAAGCTAGTAACTTTCACTAGAAAGTTATTTTAAGTCGTTCCAATGGAATGCTTTTTTTGTGCAATGCAGTTTTGTTTTTGAAAATTTTAATTGTAATTATTACATATGGGAAGGAAATCATTTCTTTTACTAGTTTGTGATACATGCCCCTTTCATTTCTGCGGTTTTGTAAAAATGTGAGTTGTCTTCTGGGTGTCTCTTTTGCTTCAGTACTACTCCTCATATTAGTCATTTACAGGACAGTTTTACCCTTTGAACTCTTTTTTTTTTTTTGCAGTTGTTCTCAATGTATAATCAGATGCATATACAGAGATGTTTACTATGTACTGAAACATTATTTTCATATTCGTGCTTTGACAATGTATCTTCAGAAAGAAAGCTGGATATTATGTATTTTGTTGTATATAATTTAAAATTCTAAAACATAATGACGTCCTTTA